ATAATTTCACAGCGTAAGGAGTGTAATTCGATATACAGTTCACGTCTTTACAGCATTTCTGTAGTTTTTCTTGTAGTTTGACCCCACAGCCTAGGACACCAACATTGAACAAAATATCTAACATACACTAAATCCACCACAGAAATTACAATGATGGAAGTATCTCTTTTAATATTATTCTCCATCTCGTCTTCCTCTTCTTTTGCACTATTTCCATTCTTTATCCTAAACACGTACGAAGCCAGACACACGCCGCCCATTCGCCTATAACACCCACCACGTATCGCCAGCCACATACCCACCGCCTCCCACCGCCCACTGCCCATCGCCCACCGCCTTCCAACGCCCACCGCCCACTGCCCATCGCCCACCGCCTCCCACCGCCCCCCGCCCACCCCCCACGTCTTCCGCTAAGCTTTCCTCAATGCTCAGCTCCCTACGTTTACTTAAGGGATTTTCAAGGATGTCTGCGTCCTGGTCGAAGGATTTGTGGGCGGAGAGCGGGAGGGGGGGTGGGGGGAGGCGTGAAAAAGTGCATTCATCCATCTCTTCTTTTTCATTTTTTTTTTTTTTCGCCTGTTATTTATATATATATATATATATATATATATATATATATATATATATATATATATATATATATATATATATATATATATATATTTTTTTTTTTTTTTTTTTTTTTTTTTTTTTTTTTTTTTTTACTTTCTCTTTTTCTATCAGTTTCTCTCTCTCTCTCTCTCTTTCTTTCCTTCTGTCTCTGAATCTCTCATTTCTTTTTTTCTGGTATCTTTCTTCCTAATGTTTACCTAATATTCCTTTGTCGTTATCAATTTCGCTTTTTTCCGCCTTTCTTTTTCCTCCCATCTCATTTCCCTATTTCCTTCCTCTTTCCTCCTCTCCTTTCCTTCGTTATTTCTTAAATCTCTCTCCACCATTCCCTACAATTCCTTTTCCTTCCTCTTCCTCAATTTGTCATTCTCTCTGTTGACTTCCCCCATCCTTCTCCATCTCTCAGGGAAGGACTGGTGGGCCATAGAAAGTGGGCCGTAGTGAGTAGGCCATAGAATGTGGGTCATAGCGAGTGGGCCATAGAGACTGGACCATAGAGACTGGGCCGTAATAGTTCAGCCTTAGAGAGGTAAATTGTAGGGGTGGACTGTAATAGGCTGAATATACAACGCGTCCTGTAGATAGTGGGCCGTAGACGGTGGGCTTTAAAAGTGTGGGCTGCTCGAAATTGAGGCTGTAGAGAGTGGGCCACAGATAGGCCATGCAGTACCGTAAAAGGGAGGCCACAGAGCCTACTCCCCATAGGGTAGGCAATAAAACGGTGGGTCGTAGAGAGTAGGGCCATGGAAGTGGGCCATAGAGAGAGAGTCCATGGAGGTAAGTCGTAGGGAGTGGGTCCATAGAGGCGGATCGTAGAGAGTGGGTTCCAGGAGATAGGTCGTAGAGAGTGGGTTCCTGGAGGCGGATCGTAGAGAGTGGGTTCCAGGAGATAGGTCGAAGAGAGTGGGTTCCAGGAGATAGGTCGTAGAGAGTGGGTTCCAGGAGATAGGTCGTAGAGAGTGGGTTCCAGGAGGCGGATCGTAGAGAGTGGGTTCCAGGAGATAGGTCGAAGAGAGTGGGTTCCAGGAGATAGGTAGTAGAGAGTGGGTTCCAGGAGATAGGTCGTAGAGAGTGGGTTCCAGGAGGCGGATCGTAGAGAGTGGGTTCCAGGAGATAGGTCGAAGAGAGTGGGTTCCAGGAGATAGGTCGTAGAGAGTGGGTTCCAGGAGGCGGATCGTAGAGAGTGGGTTCCAGGAGATAGGTCGAAGAGAGTGGGTTCCAGGAGATAGGTCGTAGAGAGTGGGTTCCTGGAGGCGGATCGTAGAGAGTGGGTTCCAGGAGATAGGTCGAAGAGAGTGGGTTCCAGGAGATAGGTCGAAGAGAGTGGGTTCCAGGAGATAGGTCGTAGAGAGTGGGTTCCAGGAGGCGGATCGTAGAGAGTGGGTTCCGGAAGATAGGTCGTAGAGAGTGGGTTCCAGGAGATAGGTCGTAGAGAGTGGGTTCCAGGAGGCGGATCGTAGAGAGTGGGTTCCAGGAGATAGGTCGAAGAGAGTGGGTTCCAGGAGATAGGTCGAAGAGAGTGGGTTCCAGGAGATAGGTCGAAGAGAGTGGGTTCCAGGAGATAGGTCGTAGAGAGTGGGTTCCAGGAGATAGGTCGAAGAGAGTGGGTTCCAGGAGATAGGTCGAAGAGAGTGGGTTCCAGGAGATAGGTCGAAGAGAGTGGGTTCCAGGAGATAGGTCGAAGAGAGTGGGTTCCAGGAGATAGGTCGTAGAGAGTGGGTTCCAGGAGGCGGATCGTAGAGAGTGGGTTCCGGAAGATAGTTCGTAGAGAGTGGGTTCCAGGAGATAGGTCGTAGAGAGTGGGTTCCAGGAGGCGGATCGTAGAGAGTGGGTTCCAGGAGATAGGTCGAAGAGATTGGGTTCCTGGGAGGTGGGTCGTAAAGTGTTC